TGTAAAATAAAGTAAAATATAAGTCAGAAGAAAAAAATCTTTAAGGTAAAAAATGAGTTAAAAACCAGTCACATCAACAGGCATCCCGGCTATGGCTTCAGGTGACACCAGGGTCATAAGGCAAATTCTATCTGTATGGCCAGTGTGGCTCAGTTAGCTGGAGCATCTTCCTATGCACCGAAGGGTTGCAGGTTTGATTTCCAGTTGGGCACATGCCTGAATTTCGGTTCGATTTCCAGCTGGGGTGCATATGAGAGGCAGGCAATTAATGCTTCTTTCACATCGATGTTTCACTCTATTTCTCTGTCTCTTTCTTTCTCCCTCTTTCTCTCTAAAATCAGTAAAACATATTCTTGAGTGAGGATTTAAAAAATTCTATCCACACCGTACTTGTCAGGTCTAGACTCCCTAGCAATCTCCCCAAATCCCCATCCAACTGGTTTTTTTGGTTTGGTTTCAATCAGGAAGATAAAGGCAGCTATATGCTGATTCTTGGCACCACCTTGTGGTCACATCTAGATAGTACACATTCCACATCATTCCACAAATGGAAGGAAACATATTTACACAACCCTGTCCTGGCTCCCAATCCCAGTTCTACCTCTTAAGAAATTATTAAAACTGCAAAGACTGACTTGAGGTCCTGGGTTAAATCAGAAAGTAGGATCATAGTGCTATTATCCAGTCTAGGAAAGGTTAAACTGTAGAGGAGGCTTGGTAGGAAATTCCCACTAAGCATCAGCTAAAAAAAAAAAAGATCCCTAGTTAGAATTGATCTTGAGCTAATATTAGGTCTACTAATAAGTAATGTCGTTTTCTAATACCTTTTTTAAATCGAATTTATTTAAACAATACAACAAAATTTAATCAACAATATAGTTGCCGTTGTTTTCTACTACTTGTGCCCAACGCTCAGGAAGCATTTTAATCCCTCTGTTCTAAAATTCTTGTGTTTTTGATGCAAAAAATTCGGTCAATGCATTTTTGAGGCATTCTTCATTATTAAATTTTTTTCCAAGAAGAAAGTTTTGCAAAGAACGAAACAAATGGTAATCAGAAGGGGCAATATCAGGAGAATATGCAGGTTGAGGGAGAACTTCCCATTCCAACTGGCGCAGTTTTTCAGCAGTGATTCTTGCAGTATGCGGTCGTGCGTTATCGTGGTGAAGAATTACGCCCTTCCGATTAATCAGCGCGGGTTCTTTTTCTCTTAAAGCTTGAGCTAACCTTTCCAATTGGGCACTATACACTGCACTTGTAATGGTTTGGTTAGATGGTAAAAGTTCATAATGAAGAATTCCTTTAAAATCCCACCAAACACACAACATCACTTTTTTCGCATGCAAGTCAGGATTTGGCGTGGGCTGCGGAGCCTCATTTTTGTCCAACCATTGAGGATGTTAATTTTCAAATTAACATCCAGCACCCATTTTTCATCTCTGGTAACAATTTGCTCTAAAAACGGCAAACGGTTTTGACGAGAGAGGAGCGAACTGCAAATTGTGACTCTTTGATTACGGTTGTTGTCGGTCAACTCATGAGGAACCCATTTTCCAAACTTTTGGACTTTGCCAAGTGCACGCAATTGATTAGAAATTGTTTTTTGTGAACAATTTAAAGTTGTCGCAAGCGCTTGTTGGGTAATTTGAGGATTTTGCACTAAAAGAGCTTGAAGAGCTTCTTGATCAAAATTGGACACACGGCCTCGACCACTCTTGTCATCTAACGAAAAGTTTCCCTCACGAAATTTCTCAAACCAACGCTGGCATTTTCTGGCGCTAACTGCATCTTGACCAAGAGCACTACAGATGTTTTTTGCAGCCTCACTTGCTTTTCTTCCTAATTGGAACTCGTAAAGCATGCAGTGTCGAATATGCTCTTCATCCGCCATCTTCTTAGCCCTAGTTTTGCAACAAAAACCAAACCAAACACAAACTTTTTCAAGCAAAACTTGTTAATTGCACTTCACACGTTCTGTAGATACCACGTGTTTGAAGGTTATGTCAATACAAGTCAACGCCAAGCAAGATTTTAAACGAATGTTTAAAAACGACATTAATTATTACTAGACCTGATGAAAGACTTATGGCACAAACTGAAAGCATAAAGGATATGAGACGTCTAAGAGTCACCCACTTTCATGAATTTAAAAGAGCTTTATACTTAACACATTGCAGGCGGATCACCAGCATTCTCATGTTTTCATATTACACAGTGTTTTACATAAATGTTCAAGGCATGCCTTAAAATTAAATACCCATTGCATTTTGAAGTTATTTATTACATGTTCTTAAAAGCTAAAATCTTTTTAAAGTATGACATTTTGTAAAACATGTTTCGTACTCATTCAATAGAAACTTATCTGGCCACTGGGTAAAGTTAGCAATAAAACTACTGGTGCGCAATGTGTTAACAGGGCCATAATACAAAGTTCAAAAAATATGGGACGGGGGGAGGGGGGGGGTCATGGAGCCAGGTCAGCTGGTTTGAACAAGACCACAATACCTGAGATTGCAAGCTGGATGCATCACACCAGAGTCAAACCTTACATGCTAGAAGACTAGACACCCATTCAGCATCCAGGATACTCATGCAAGCCAATTGGAAATTTCAAACTCTTCTTTAAACATGTTGCCAATCCAGATAAGTCCAAATAATTATCCTTCTCCTTGCTCTACACCTAGAGGATAACACTCCTTCCTTAGTGCCTAACTTAAATCTGCCTGGCCTTGCTGGATATGTATCCGCTCTCAGGACTGGGGCCAACTAGCCACTGAAACCTACACGGAACTGTTACCCCCACTTTCCTACACATAGAAATTATGTCTCGCCTAAGAGAAGAATAGAAAATACAATCAAAGCCAAAAAGATTTTCTTCCCTTGTATCAAAAACAACTAGAAATCTTACACCTCTAAAATTCCACCCCAACCTTGTTCACCAATTTAATAAATGTAAGAGGCACCCAATTCCCAATTTGCATTCTCAACCCTTCTCCTGGCTCCCTAAACCAGGGACCAGCGAGAGGGAACTTGTCCTCCACCAGTGTTCACATGTGTTCACTGTCCCTGCCCACAGACAGTTCACACTAAGGGATGAGCCTAGGACTACAATCCTCTATAGGATGAGAGGGAACTGATGAGTTAATCTACTGACCCAAAGGACTGACTATTAACAGCCAAAGTTACAACAGCTCCAGAGAGTCATTCCACTGTGGGTCTAACTTGACTAGACCTTCCTTATTCCTTGATTTATCTCAACCAGACCTGAAATGTATCCACTAAATGCCCCTGGTTTCCATCACCAAAATCATTATCTTTGAGAACCTATCAGATCCACCCCATTTCTTGAAAGATACTTCCCAGAGACCACATCCATACCTTAGCCCCCACAAATGTGGCAGCTCCACAAATATGGCAGCTCAAGAAATTTGTTTACTCTTTTATCCAAGAAAAGAAAATAGGGCTACCTGACTCCATAGGAGGGAGGCAGGACGGGAGGTCATGGAGGAATGCACTGGACCTACATGGGACATGACTCACTGGAAAACACCGCCCCCACGGGGCCTACACTTCATCCGGGCATCGAATATCCACCTTTCCCTCCACCTGGACGGAGAGGCCTTTGCACCTTAGGGTATATAACCTCACACATCGTCACTGCCTCACTCTCCTGCCAGTTCTCAGTAAAGAAAGATTATCCAAAAGAGCGTGCCTCTCATCCCCTCTTCACGGTGCTCGGTGTTGCCGTAGGGGCAGGGAAATGAGCCACTGGAAAACTAGCCTTCCCGGGACAATTCCCACTCTCCCTAGAAACTACAGCTTTCTTTGAAAAGGCTTACAAAACAGGGCTTTAGACTTACTAACTGCTGGGGGAGGCGGAGTGCGAGCATAAACCTAAAAGAAATCTGGTGAAGGATCCCTCCTGCTGTGAGTCACTCGGTGCTCTCAGTGAGCTGCAGGGAGACTGGTGCTCAGGGAGACAGTGGAGAAACTGGGACTATGCACTGTTCTCGGCTCACTGAAAAGGTGTGGCAACACGCAATGCTGACATTACAAGGAACACGCTCACCTTCCCTTTTATCTTATATCTCACTTGCATCATATACTAACGAAGTCATGGAAATAAAAGCCAGAGTCAGTCTTTAGCATAAAAAAAGGACAGTGAAAGGACAGGTATGCTGTGTATCTGAAGTACATTTCTGGCATGACAGTGGTTTATAATTCTGTAGATATCTACTTTTTCAAGATAGGGAGGGAGGATTTAAGAAACCAAGCTTCAACAATAAAGATCTTAAAAAAAAAAAATAAAAAAAAAAAGCAGCAGCCAAGCTTATTCTTTCACATGTTAAAGCTTAAATTTCAGCTCTTATTTGAAGTAAAGTCCTTCAAAATTACTTTCCTGCTTCAAAAGTAAAAACAAACTATCCAGCATGCTCAACATTAGTCAACTTTCCTTCTCCTGACCCTTGTCCCAGGGCGACCACTGGGTGTAAAGGCACACATCTCACGCCGCAGGAGCCCACATTCACCCTCCCAAACCCTTCACCTAGGCCAGTGGTCGGCAAACTCGTTAGTCAACACAGCCAAATAGCAACAGTACAACGATTGAAATTTCTTTTGAGAGGCAAATTTTTTAAACTTAAACTTCTTCTAACGCCACTTCTTGAAGTTAGACTCGCCCGGGGCCGTGGTATTTTGTGGAAGAGCCACCCTCAAGGGGCCAAAGAGCCAATGTGGCCGACCACAGACAGACCTAGTTTTTCTTCTTGGACTTGCCCCAAATCTCAGTGAAGACCCAGAAGCAGAAGCATTTGGGTCGGCTCCACTGAGGACTCAAGGGCTCTGATGGTTTGAGTACACTAAGCCTGCAGGAAGTCCGACCTTTGGATAACAAGGATCTAATATATTAAGCTGGGTCTAGAACTCTTATTTATTAATAAACCTGCCACCTAAGATAATGCAAGTGGTACAACCTGTTTATAATAATCTCCCAGACTGACCTCAATCGCTGTTTGTAATAATCTTCATCTCCATCGTCTCGGCATCTCACTCCTTTCCGACCTCCTCCTTTGGCAGCTTCAGCTTCTTCCCCAGAACTCCCCCCGTCCATCTCCTGCGCTGCTGTTTTCTTCTTACATTTCCGCCGCTGGAGCACAGGCCCCAGCTCAGAGTCGGTGCCTTCTGCAGACAGGTCCACCTCTGCCGCCGCCCGCTCCTCCTCCTCGCTGGGTAAGTACTCGGACTCTTCACCCTCAGAATCTCCCTCTGCCTTTGGCCTCACATCAGACTCCAAGCGTTTCTTTCCCTTTGGCAATCCCACTTTCCCCTGGAACTGGAGAGCCCGCTTCTGGAGTTTCTTGATGTGCTTTTTCAAGCGCTTGTCTGTTTTCGAAAGAACTTTGCTTCTCTTGTTTGGTTTGTTTTCACTGAGTGTTGGGCTCAGCTCAGAAGTAACCGAGGCTGGAGTTTTCTTAGATGCTCTTTTATTACAAACTTGCTTCTTCCTTTCAAAAGACAGTTTTGCTTGATCTGCCAAATATTTCTCAAAGCCTGATGCTTCGTTAAGCATTAGTTTCCTAGGCTTTTTCTCCTGTTTCTGAGGGATCTGGGTACCAAAAGGCGTCATCTGGCCAGTGCGGATGAGCTCCTCCCAAGCAGTCTCCTGAGCAGGCATGAGCATGCTGCCGAGACAGGACGGGCCCGCTTCTGAAAGAGGGACACAATGCATTGGGCACTAGCGCTCTCCAGGAGGACAAGGAATATACTCAGCTACTCAATAAACAGTAGGCTCCTACAATTAATTAATATTAAAAATATATCAGTAATCATTAATGCCTGGCTAATGTGACTCAGTGGTTGAGTGTTGACCCATGAACCAGGTCATGGATTCGATTCTCAGTCAGGGCACATAGTTTTATTTCTTCATTTCAATCCTTATGCTTTTTATTTCTCTTTTTCCAATACTACACTGTCCAGTACAATGTTTAACAGAAAAAGAGGAAGTGAGTACTTCATCTCCTCCACATGAGGAGCAAAACCTACTTCTAGGAATAGATTCTTTTTATCAGATAATTCCCACAACCACCTCTGAAATGAAGCACTGTGTGGAGAACAGGGCAAAGAAACCCCAGTAAGCACATGAGCAGAGAAATGAAAGTCTAACATACCTATGCCTATCTCATAAGTTCAAAACACAATTGCAAAGGTACAGGAATGAGGTCAAAGTCTATGCCCAGGCAATGCAAAGCTGGATCTCACAAAGAGTCCTACACACTCTGTTTCACTGCCTTTCAAAATTGAGCACAGGGCACAAGGGACCGAGAAAGGGCAGAGGAGGGAGGTCGATAAGAGAGAACACAAGTCTGAAGTGCTGGCTGGTGTCCCAATGGAGAGATATAATAGGAACCAAGAGCTCAGAAAAAAGGCAAGTCCGTAAGTCTACAAATGTGTAAGAATTTAGAACCTAGGTGCCCATAAAAGCCAGGGAGAATTGGATAAGATTATTTGGGAAAAGGTTCAACAAGAGGCTCAGCAAAAAATCCTGAGGACAATTAACTTTTAAGATAAGGCCAGAATAGTAGGCCAAAAATAACTAAATAGGAATGGTCTGAGGGCCGAAAGGAAAGCCAGTTGAAAGACAGGAATCCCGGGAAACATGGGATTTGCTAATACAGACCAGCAGAGCAAGGGTGAAAAGAAGCTTTTGGATTTGTAACTATTAATCCAATTCAGGGTGAAAAGAGGCTTTTGGGGAAGTAACTATTAATCCGGGGCAAAGTTTTATCAAAGAATCAATAGGAGGTGAAAGACAGCAGCAAGTTTTAGGCAGCCAGATAAGAACAAAAATCCGTTACCAGTGAGAACTATGGTGCCTCAGCAGCAGAAAGCATGGCTTTAAAAGTGCACATCTCTAATATTTTTTCCGTTGCCTCAATTAATTCTTCATAATTCTCTTGTCTTATTAAATAAATTTCTGGAGCTAGTAGAAAATATTTGCTTGAAGAGCTTAAATGTTAAGAAGCCTTAATTTTTATTTTTGAGTAATAAATGAATGAACAGCTACGAACAATTTCTAAACATACATACATACACACTGACTACAGAGGTATTTCATTTCAGAGCTTATGCATTTTATCAAAAGACGCCCATCTTAGACAGTGATATAAACAAAATCATGGCCATAGCATACCTGGAATGAAGCTATCTTTCCTTAAACAACAAAACTGATGTTTGGAAAGCCTATCAAATATGCCTCAAAAATATATGTGAAATCAGTCCTAGGAATGCTGATGATGTTGGGCTTACAAATTGTACCTCAATTAAGGTGTTAGTTGTCTTTATAAAATTAATTATACAAAAATGTAAGAGTTCTAATTTATTAAACATAATACGAAATATGGACCAGCAGCCAATAGCAGACTGACTTAAAGTTTCACTCTCACCTCTAACTTTGGTTCTGCAGGCGTAGAGAATAAAATTTTCCTAAATCAGATTTGACACTAAGGCAAAGAAATGTCTTTTCCAGAAAACCTAGGCCAGGACGCACTACTGGCATCAAGTATCAATTGGGAGCCCAGAGACACTGTTCCCGGGATCTCACCTTCGTCCTCCTCCTCCGGACCGGCATGCTCTAGTCCAACTTTTACCGCCACTCCTCCCAGGAGGGTCTGCAGGCGTTTCTGTTTTGCTGTGATCTTCTTTAGCTGTTGTTCCTTAAATGGTAAATGTGAATACAGAAACATCAATGCAGTGATTTATTGTTGCAAATACAAAAGACAGCGTTAAAAAATTTTTAAACTTTAATCAAGAGAAAAATAAAACAGAAATTCTATATATTACTATTAATATCGAGAACCTTATTTGAGCTACTGCCACATTTCTAGCAGGAAGGACTCAAAGCATTTCCATCAGGCACATATCCCTGTCCCACCCACCCTCCCAACATAGCTTTCAACAGGCCCAGAACTGAGGTTCATGTGTACTGACGCTCCGCTGATTTGTGGGTGGCTCTGCTCTACTTGGTTCCCCCATTACAACGGGGAAAATCACCACACACCTCTGTGTTCGGACCTTAACAGCCATTGAGCTATGAGGTCAATAGGTTGGAGGGTAAGAAACATAAACGTGAATGTTCAAAAGTTCAGTCAGTCCCCTTTGATAACTTACCATATTTATGATTGTTCTTTATAGAATTCTACCCAACCACAAAATTTTAAAGGGAAAATATATTTCGATATCCCTTTTTACCCCAATCACAACAGACTCCTCTGTCTTGTCACCCTCTATAATCAAAGTTCAGATATGGGGATATTCCTATAGCCTCCTCAATTAACAAGGCCTGTGGTACTCAGTTCTTCCCAAAGTCAAGAATGTTTAAATACCAAACATGAATGTGGGGCAAGGAAAATCATGAATATAAAAGCCACATTAGAATGACATGTAATTTATTTGCAGTTTTTCTCAGCAAAATCTTATTTTAAACAGCCTTTCTCTCTGAATAGTCTATCTCTAAACCTCAAAGAGCTGTTAAAGAAAGACAGGGATATATAACTGAGTTGGGCTATTATCTAAAAAGTTCTAAAGTTTGAGCCTCTCCTCTCCTTGAAACTCCTGCCCACCGAAGCCCAAGGTCAGAGAAGGTCTCTGCACATTAAACCACACGCTCCCACTGAGGCCACATGCTGCCTTTCTGATTTGTGAAGACCAACAGCTACTTCAAGCCACTACTAGCTGTGACTCTGGGGCTGGTATTCCGGAGGTGAGAGAAGATGGGGTGGTGCAGATAATGGACTGGTGATTGGAAAGCAAAAGGAGGAACTGAGTCTACACACATCCCCACTAGCACAGCTTAAGTGAAAGATGCACAGATTCTACTCATTACAATGAATCAGTTGCAAGCACAAGGATACCTGTTAGTCATAAATAAAATGATCAAATGGCAGAAATAAAATGATCAAAATTAGTCATTCCTATCTTCTGCAATGTATTTCTAAAAGTGTTTCAAATCTCTCTCACTCTCTCTCTCTCTCTCTCTCTCTCTCTCTCTCTCTCTCACACACACACACACACACACACACACACACACACACACACAAAATGTCCTAAGTAACAGATAATCCCTACCCTTAAGTTCTATGAGGCAGTGCGGCTGGATGATGACTGTAATACCTGAGGCCAGCCTCTCAGAACAGTGAGCACGTGTTCACTGCTTCTGCATCACAGGAAAGAGTGTAAACAATCAATGCAAGCAGGAGCTAAGCAGGAAAAAAAAGAATAAAAAATAAGGAGACTGAGTAGAGGCCTGCATACCAAGCAGGAGGCTAATTTAGGTAAAAGAAAATAGTGAGGCAAGGAAGGCTATGAAAGTACACCAGTAAGAAGGCATGCAAAGCCAAAAACTTTTTTCTCAAACATGTATGTATGTGTGGAAGTATGTCTGTATGTATTTTTTAAAATATTCTAACAAAGGATATTAAAGGGAAACAGTTGAAAAATTAAACATACATAAAAACTCAAAATTTTCTATTATAAATATTTGTTTCAAATCTTATAAGTACTTTTCAAATCCTTTCTAAATATTAAATGTCTAAATGATGACTTTTTCAAGTGTTATTTTGAAATCACCTTGTTATATTTTTGCCGTTTTACAGAATCTAGTTTCCTGTTGATGTCTTTGTTGGTGGCAGCTTGAGGGCTAAGTTGTTCAATAATTTTATTGATTTGCCTTAGGGATGTCGTACATGACCTGAAAAATAAGATAAAATGTATATATTCCACCCTGGTAACATTTCTAATAGTATAATATAAAGATTGAAATACTAAAAACATGGCTCTCTCATTTCTTATTAACTAAGATAAAAGAAACTAAACCAAAATGCATAGTCTTCTTGGCCATAAATAGAACTTGAAGTGTTGTTAGAAGTTAAAAGACTAGTGTCTTTTTTTTTATCTGCTTCTTTAAATCAGCTCATTCCATTTTGTAAGCTGATTAATTTATCTTATAAGCTTTTAAGTGACTATTTATTCAAGAGACTACTAAAACAATGTGCAATAAGTTGTCCTTTTATATGAAAAGATGAATACATTTTTAAGACTACTTTTTATAGAAGTTTTAGGTTCACAGCAAAATTGAGAGGAAGGTGCAGAGATTTCCCATATACCCCCTGAGTCTCCTATTGTCAACAACCCAATAGATAGATTCTAAAAGCCCATAATGAAAGTCTCTCAAAGCTTAGAAAATACTAAAAATGCTTAAACATTTTCTTGGATAAGTCAGACATCTGTGGCAATATTTTTTCTTTCACATGACCAGAAAACGTATTTTCTGTAGTATTATGGAGGGGAAAAAAATCGACTTTTAGTACACTGCTCCTAAAATAGACACCACAGAATTATAGCTCCTAATTTTCAAAACACAAATTCAATATTGACATTTGTGTAACTTGCTGTTGTATGCTTTCTGGGTTTTAGCATAAAAAGATGTTATCAATGCAAGTGACTGGCAAGCTGAGGACCTCACGCCACCACCCACCTGGTGCCAGTGCCTGAGGCTCTGCAGCACTGTGCCCTGCCACCTCTGTAAGCAGTGGACACGTTTCTAAGGTCAAATGTTAAAAGGTGTGTTCATTACAAAGAGTTGAGGTTCTCACACCTGAAGGTCAGATAACAACTATTCGAGAACATCTGCAACTCAAGAGACCAAAAGAACATACCAGAAAACTTAATAGAAAGCATGTCCTTTAAGTGCCAATAGCCACCTGTACATCAGTCCTCCCCAGAGGGTAACCAACAGCTCCATGTTCCTCCTTCTCCTCCCCTCCCGCAACCACCCCCAGCTAAGACTGCACCATCCTTCCATCAACCCTCCCCTTCACTTTCTGGCTTGCCTGACACTGCCTGGAACACTGGTAGAGAAGACTAGCAATGGCGTGAGCACTCAATCCTGCCCCCCTCCTAGCCCAGCCTGAGTCTCCCCCTTCTCTACCAACGTGTTCATGCGTTATGCTCATCAGCGCCCAAGTCTCCTCTAACACACAAATGAAATCTCCATGGGACTTCATCTTCCCTTACGGTCAAAAGTAGGAAAAAAAGAGCCGAGAGATATTTTTCCTTATTTCTAGAATGCAAAATCTGAAAAATTACTAAAGGACATACTCATTTTAAGGGAAAGAAACTACAAGATAAAGGGAATGTGAGGGGGCAAATGTGCTCCTGGGTTCTCGAGCAGGACACATAAGAACTGTGAGCACATGTCTCCTGAGAGTGATTCTGTACATGTGCTTGTGAGCTCCGGGTCACTCCTCTGCATTATGCACAAACAGGCAGCTGTGAGCTGTGCATACTGCTCCGGAGGAAAAGGGCTGAGGTTCAAACACAGATCAATGACTGCCCTTTGGATTCTACCCTCCATAGGAGAAATCCTATAAACTTCCTAATATTTCTGGGATACTACAGCTAGCACCTGAATTTATCCGTCCCTTATAAACACAAACACTGCAATTAGAGAGAAGATGGTCCACACTCACGCGAGGTCATCCAGGACGGACTGGTACTCTTTCTCTGCATCCGCGAGCTGGGCAGCATGGCTGGCCTCCTGGATGGCACTGTCCACCTGCTGCAGCACACCTTGCTCCAGCACATCCTGGTCATAGACATCCACACCCAGCCCCTGCAGCTCCAGGGCCTGAGCACTGGGCTCCACTGCCTGGATCTGGTGTCTGTCGATGTGCAGCAGCGCAGGCCTTCTCCTCGCAGCTTCCCACGGACACCCCTCCGTGGAGGTGGAGGGCCCACTGGCAGAGGAACAAGAGGGGAGGCTCTCCTCCCTCTCTGCATCACCGTCATTTTCTTGCTCAACTGTCATTTTTTCACCATCACTGACACACCGACTCTGTAAGCAGTCTTGCTCCTGAGTTTGACTTGAGTTGGGAATTCTCTCATTCGTCATCTTTTATAGACTACCTAAAAGTAAAAACAAAACAAACAAAAATAAACTTTCAATAAGCCTTTTCTGTTATATAGAAAGGATAGCTACATGGTTTCCTGAATATTTTATGAAACAGATTGATTTTTCAAAGGATCAAGTAATAATCCTCCAATTATACAAACATGTTTCCAAGTATCACTTTTCTGAAAAGCTTTATATCTTATTGAGTCCTGATAATAAGAAAAACTAACCAAAAGTAAAAAAAAAAAAATGCAGTGTCCCTGACAACCAAAGTCCCGAGTGACACCTAGTCTTCTCCATCTCACTGGCGCTTCCCACGTTAGCCTCTCCACTACACTGTGGCATAAATGACTTACATTAGAGTGGCATGATCAACCATGATGTATAGATTTAGATTTATGATGTAAGGAGAGAGCTTCTATATGAATCTGACACTAGAAACTTTGAGAATGAATATTTATTTACTCCAATAAACAGAAACAAGAGATAATCTAACACCACTCAAATCAGAATCTGAGAAAAATAAAAATATTCTCAAAAAATAACTCTATTTCAATGTGTGATATAATTTCTCACCTTAGGGTTAGCAAAAACATAAAGCCAAATAATATCCAGTATAGACCAGGAAGATACATCCTCACACAATGGTGGTGAGAATACAAATTAGTAAAACTGCCTCGTTTTCAGGCAGTTGCAATAGTTATTATTCCAGAGAAATGAATATATGCAGTTATGTTTATTATAGCATGTTCTAATAGATTAATGTAGGCATATTAATGTGATACTGGTATAAGTCTTATAAAGTGAAAAAAGCCATAGTATAAACACATTTATGGAAAAAACTGCATCTGTGTGCGTGGAACACACTCAACGTGATCTGGAGATACACACTAAACCTACAATAGTTGGGAGGGGAAGCAGAAGGAGCAGGGAGGAAATGTCACGTTTCCTAGTCAGGAATTCCAATAACTAGATTATAAACAACACAATGACCAAGAGACAGCCTTGCTTTTCATTTAACTGGGAATAAACTAAGGTTTCTTTCAGCAATGAACTTATTTCTATGAAATGACCACAAGTACCTCCAATAGCCCCACTCCTTCCTCATTAGACAAAAGATCCCAGAGGCCAAGCACTGGGATACAGATGCCAGGAGCTTGGCAGCACCCTGCCCTGAGTGGCTCCCTCTCTAGTGGGAAAGAGTGTCAAAAGCAACCCAGCAGGACGGATCCACAGAGATGAACAAGAGGCCACGTGGACACAGAGGAAGTGATGATCATTGGGTATGATGTTCAAAAGACACGTACAAGATTTGAACACCTGGCCCAGGGTGTGATACAGAGGAGGTGCTCAATATATGCTGAAAGGAAGTCAGGTTCAGAGAGGAGTCTTAAGTAATAAGTCTGGTCTGGACTACTGAGTCACTGGTGAATTCAGTCACAAAAAATAAAATCTCTGAAAGGAAACAGACGGAAGCAGGCAGAGGGGCTGGTGGGAAGTTATAAATGCCAGGTATGGGTCAGGATGCAGTCAGAATGCAAATCTGGGCTCAAGAGAAAGACATGACAGGGACCACAGATTCTTTTAGAGGTTAAAAGTGAACAACAGAGTAAGAAAGTTCCTCCTGCCAAAACCAGTTTGCTCAGTGGTAGAGCGTTGGTCTGCGGACTGAAAGGTCCCAGGTTCGATTCCGGTCAGGGGCATGTACATTGGTTGCGGGCACATCCCCGGTGGGAGATGTGCAAGAGGCAGCTGGTCGATGTTTCTCTCTCATCGACGTTTCTAGCTCTCTCTCTCCTTTCCTCTCTGTAAAATATCAATAAAATATATTTAAAAAGAAAAAAAAAAAAAAAAAGAAACTTCCTCCTTTTTTTGGCTTGATTATTTTCAGGAGAAAGAATTAGCTTAGTGCTCTATCATTAACTAGTCTCCACTTTCAACAGAAGCAAGATTCTTAATACTGGCTGAAATTTAACAATTGTTTTCATTTTTCTTATTTGTATATATGCAAAGATTTGTTTTTCAGTTAAAAAAACACATAAATTCAAATATTTACATAATAATATAAAATAATACATTAAGTAATTATGTTAGGTAATAAAGGCAAGGTTGAATAATGTTTGTAGAAAACTTCAACAGAAAAGGAAGAAGAGGGAATAGTTAAAAGTGGAAAATGAGATGGCAAGTTCACATAAGGAATCTCGAGTACCATGGATTTGGAAATTAGCAGGTACTGGTTATCTTAGTTTAAAAAAAAGTTTCAGTTGAGCAATGGGGACAAAAACCAGGCTATAGGGAGATGAGAAGTGAGTAGCCACCAGTGGGTAGCCTACCCTCTAAGCCTTAGAGTCTAAGGGTTTGCCTATGGAAGTGCAACAGCTGAAATGATCCTATATAATAAAAGCCTAATATGCTAAGTGTCCGGTCATCCATACACTTAACCACTCGCTATGATGTGCACTGATCACCAGGGGGGCAGATGCTCCAATCAGTAGGTAAGCTTGCTGCTGGGGTCCTGCCCAACTGGACTGAGCAAGATGGGCCTCACACACCCTGAAGCCCTTCCTGGTCCCTCCCAGCCTGATCGTGTACCCACAGGGTCCCTTGGCATGTGCCTTCTCGCAATCTGGGACCTAGTTTTGGCCAATCCCACATGCCAGGCGGGAATTCTTGCACGAATTCGTGCACCAGGCCTCTAGTACTGTAATAATGAGTTGGGAGAGGAAAACTAGGTCAGGAAAAACTATTAACATGTCATAGCTGGAAAGGGAGCAGGGGGATAACCTACTGAGAACACTGTACCAGAGACATATTTGAATATGTATATATAAAATATATGCTAGTATAGTATACACACACACAAATGTCACTGTAGTAGCTGTTGTTGCAAGGGAAAAGGACAGGATTCTTTATGACAAAGTAACAGAGGGACCTAACTGACACTGTGGAGGTCAGGGAGGCCTCTCTGCTAAGGATGGTTAAGCCAGTATCTGAAGAATGAATGAGTTAATCGGCCAAAAGTGGAGTGAAACGTTTTTGCAAAGAACAGCATGTGTAATTCCTAAGGCTGGTCAGGGCTGATGCACTTGGAACGTGGAAGGAATGGGCACAGTCAGCGTGTACTTTACATTCATTGTGCACATCTAACGCTCCGCACGGCTCAAGTCATCTGGGGAAACAGTATCTTCGTTGTCCTCCCCTCACAGCACCAGTTCTGTGGGCGACGGGGACTCGGGGTTGGAGCCTGGTTGCAGACACAGAGGCTGAAGGCGGGGGGTGAAGAGGAGGGTGGGCGAGGACCAGAGGGCACGGGCGTGGGTAACCTGAGCTTGGACTTGACTCCAAGTCAAGACTCTTAAGAGTTTTAAAACACGGTGATGACAGCATGGTCCAAGGGATGTCTGTGGACTGCTGTGCCGATAGCAGACTGGAGGAAACGGCGCGACAAGGAGCTGGAAGACACGGCGTGGAACAGGGTGGCAGCCGTGCCGGGAGAGCTCCGTGGGAAACCACCTCGCAGCCTCCCGTGCCGACGGCTCTGCCCTCCAGCTCTCTGCCCTCCTGCTCGGCATGGATACCAACGCCCGGAGTGCCCGACTGCATTCTGCCCGATCCTCCGGGCCAAACAACAAACGGCTCTGACACTGAACCCGGATCAAACTGGGCCGAACAGACCCTGCGCGCGGGGCCTGATCCAGGCCCAGAAGTGAGCTCGGTCGCCGGCTCACCCGCCGGGCCCGCCCGGTTGGGGACCTGCCACCCGGCCGCGCGCCGCGACGTCACTTCCGACCGCAGGTGGGCGGCCCAGGAGGCGCGCCCGGCCCCCGGACAGGCCGGGGCTGGGGGCCCGCGGGGCCCGGCTGCCTGGCAGCACGAGGGAGGCCCAGTCACTGCCCGCCCGACGCTCGGCCCCGCCGCGCCGACACTCACCCAGGGCCGCGAGGCCGCCAGCAGCTACACGCAGACGCCGCCGCCGCGCGCGCAGCCAGGACTCCGACGGGCAGCCGCCACGGCACATGCGCGGGGACCCGCCACTAGCTCCGCCCCCAACGGTGACGCGCGCGGCCTGCGGGGGCGGGGCGGGGCGGGGCGGGGTCTGCGGGGGCGGGGCCAGGGCGGCACCGGGCGGACTGGGAAGGCGGTCCGGGAGGTTTGAGGGCTCCGTGCGGCTCAGTCTTTCCACCTTTGACCCGGATGTGGATGAGGATCCCGCGTGTTGCTGGCGCTTCATTCCTAATAAAAATGCCTCTGTAGGTGTAGGAAGACAGTTGTGAGCATTAAAAGACACGTTTTTAGAGAGAGAGGGATGAGAGCAGACCGTGCGAATGTAAACGCCCCCAACCGTTAATACCCAAAAAAAGGCAAGCGTGGGAAGTGCTGCCCATTTCATAGCCGCGCAGGCTGTGACCTCCCCTGGTCATCTGGCTCAGCTGTGAGCAAGGAGAACTTGGGAGAAGGTTCCCTGCTGTCTGCCGCCTCCTCCCCACCCCCGCACACACACCTTGGGCGGGGGCAGGGTGTGCCCATAGTGGACCTGCAGGAATGTCTTGATTGCATTAGTGACTCAATAATTTAATATCTGCCCTCAGATCAAAGAGAAGGAGGATTTTGAGCCAGGTGAGAATTTTAGGTTGGAGCATTTGAAGAAACAAAAGGCCAACACATAGGTTCAAACAAAAGGGGGAAATTGAAATCACCTAAGGCAGGAGTAGCCCTGGTGGGCCCGAGCTGAACCCAGTGGCAGCGGTCAGTCAGGAATTCCAGACGGGAGGGTGGATTTTCCAGGGGCCAGAATGAGAAAGCCTTCGAGTGACAGCGGGCTAGAAGGGATCTGTGGGGCCTGGGAAGGAAAGTGCCTTCCTCGTTTAGAAGACTGAAGTGGACAATGGGCAGGGTCAGGAGTGGACTGGGTAATGCTCAGGAATAGCACCATATCTCTGTTAGCAAAGCTGATTACTATGTTTCTGTCATAACACATGAAAGTGTAATTTGTTTTTAAG